TGTTTAGTAAGGGGAGTTTCGAATATAGGATATTACATTTTAAGAATTTAGTTGTTCTTTTAGAATAAGACTATGTTTACTAAGTTTATAGTATTAACTCAAATTTATGTTCTTTGGGCATAGGTAATTCAATACGAAATTTTTTAATATGACATTTTTTAAGAAAACGAATTCACTTTTAAACTGACACTATAAATAATGTGGAAAGCTAATGCTGACCGAATTCCAAGTATAAGTTTCTATAGTGTTGGTTTTATCTTGTTTTCGCAACTTGCTCGGAGCGTCAGTGAGACCTTGTGAAACGTACCTAGTTCTGTATTCTCTGCCATAATATTCATCATTTCCAGCATTGGACCATTGCCTGGGTACATTCCCAAACTTTTCGCTGGCATCTTCATTAAGAGGTGTCATCGTAAGCACAGAATTTCAACTTATCAAAGTGGCAAGTGAGGGCAATTTCCTTGACCAACCATTCTGTTCACCTGTTTTATTTAGCCTTCGTTGTAAGAAGGCATCCTCATCCAAAGTGGACTTGAGAATTGACCATGCCTCAGTCAAGCAAATGTAACTTTGTTTGTTTGTAGGTCGAACTCACCAGAAGAGGACGGATTAATTTCGTTGTACTGCAGCCGTTTGGCTTTTTTATACGACGTTCAAGTTGACGCAGTCCACGAGACCTCCTCCCTAGTTTTGGGTGAAAACGGGCTAAGCTTTCACTCCTGTAAGTCTCACATTAACACTAGGGCAAGAAGACTATCCGGCTCTATCTATCTCTTATATAGACTCAATTAGGCCAAAAGGAATTCAAAACCTAGATAGATATAGGGTGATTTGGCTAATTATCTTTCATACTAGTACTGTTACTTTTGTTCGAGTGTGCGCGTGTGTGTTAGCGTCTATACGCAATACCGGCCCAAAATCAGAATTATCAAAAGGCTAATGTCATGCTCTGATCATCAAGGCCTAATGACCCTAAGAGAAAGCCCTTACCGAGACTGCTTAAGTTCGTGAGCAAGTATGGTTGATATAATGAGATATGAGCTTGTAAGCATGTAAGTTAAGCTACGAAACCTCCTGTCCTAACCTCTCAGTCTAGAATCATTAACGTTTAATTCCCCAAGGAAAGGTATGACTGGGGCCTAATTCGCCTATCTATTTTTAGAGAAGGCATGACGGCAAAATTAGGACATGGGAAAAGATCTTAGTCTGCTAGCTTTGACTAAATCGTCTCCGTCTGAAAATTTATTCCTTAGTAGAGCGATATTATTCTCAATAAGTTAGCTAGGTATCGCATAAACATTCTTGGTATCAGCGGTGACGTCTTAAAATTCTCTTCTTATTTGTTCATTTATGCATTTTCCAATAGAGATGAGAGAGGTGATCCCATATGAAGTCCAAAGTTTGTTCATGGATGCTGCCATGCAATGTGAAGTAGCTAGTTGCTATTGTCGGATTGACGAGTCGTGTTAACAACTCCCTCCTTATCCTCTGTTTCCAGGTTGTCCTCCTCTCTGTCCAAGATATAAAGCAGGGCTGTTCGCGCCTTTTCTCCGAACATGTTTGTCTACATAGATTGCACATCAAAACTTACCAATAATTCTATTTCTTCCACTGTCATGTTTTTATGCCTGTCATTTCAAAAAGAAAAGTTTAGCCTCTCCTTAAGGATCTTAGTGGCCTCCTGATAAAGAGGTGCCAAGGGAAAATTCACTACTTTATTATGATCGCTATACTGTTTAATAGACGTTGTCATCCCGGAAAAAACGTTAACTAGGATCGATAATCTTAACTTAAATTATCCTATAATCCCATACCTAAGCAACTTTTCATCGTGTCTCATTGTTATTAACTCAGAGATTCTATGTGATTCCTTGTCCATTTTAAAAGTCTTCCAGAGTCAGAATCCTGGCCAGATCAGGCCTGAGCTTTGACTCAATATTTATAAACTTAAATATTTTAAAGGTTGTTTGATATAGTTTTCGCAACTTGGTCATATTGGTAGGAAGACTTATAGGAACGCACCTAGTCCAGATTCCATTGTATGCATGATAATTTCCAAAGTTTGAACGCGAACGCTTTACATTCCCAGGCGTTTCGCAGGCATCGTAATCGGCATTGTTAGGGGGTTCTACCATTCTTAGTATCATACTACAACTCGTCAAAGAGACAAGTGAAGCTGATTCTTTGCTCAAACGAGTGCTAAACAGTTGTGGTATCTCTCCTTGTACCCTGGGCTATTCACATTTCCTATATCCTCGTATCACGCCTTCACTGTTACAATTTTTACCGTGCTTATTTCGATGTAGTATGGTGTGCTCTTTTGAGCGGCATTCATGAGAACCATCCGCATTCAACACTGGCGTTCTCACTCCCCCTTCACTCTTGTGCTGTAACTGTTGATCAGAATCTGCCATATTGTTACGCTGCCCTCCTTGCATATGTCTTATCAGAGTCTCCCTCCTGCTCCAGACAATCCGCCTGCTATTTCCCTCGTTTAAGTATTTCACTCGACCCCTTTTACCTCATCTGTGCTACTCGATGCATTATTACCCCTCCCCTGCGTCTTGGTGACTAATTCGAGGCTCAAGCCTCCCTTGCTACATGGACCACGTAGGACCAGGCAAAGCCTACTGTCAGCTAACTAGCTCCAGTCTCCGCCCGCGTCAATCCTGTTTCATTCTCTAATACCAAGCCTTTGACTTACCATGCCATAGTCTCTTGTGTTCTAACCCACAAATGTCGTCGTACTGCTTGCTTTGATTAGGTTCA